AATAGTTGTGAACGCAGTTTTACCATGCTCCTATTGAGAATGCTGTTTTGGTTTCGCCGAAAACCCCATTTAGACTCTCTACGTGCCATCGATGCTTTTAAGCGACGTACTCCAAGGGCGTGTGTCCGCGTTTTCTCTGAAGTGTTCTCTCATGAGGAGTTCTAGGTTATAGGCCGGAAATACCAGGCTCGTTTCCCGGAAATGACGCATTGACACGAGTACCTGTGCGGCGACAAATACGGAGAAGAGACCTGCGCGCCAAAACCACCTGTTCACACCTGAAAACACCTGTGTCACCACCTGTCAGTACCTGTACGCCGTGTGTGGATCTAGCGCCTGTGTACTTGTGTGGATCTAGCGCGCTGATATTTAGGAAGTAAGTAAGGGACAACCGTCCCCCTCTTTGACTGTCTTTGTGGTATTTAAAGTCTCTCTTATGACTGTTCAAATGACGCCACAGGCCGAAAGCTAAGCTTATATGTCTTCGAGCAGTATGGGGATGTAAAAAGACTTATACTTCACCATTATACGGAGTGGCATGCTCTCTATCGTACAAGTAAAAAATGTAGTGTATCCCAAGTGGTAGGTACTGCTAAAATACTGTATGGAAGGTACGTAGATGTTGAATTATTGAATTTGAACGTTGCTCGTAAAGCTTGGCGGCCAGGTTAGGCGGGGTAGACAGTTGTAGAGCGGCCGTGGGGAGTCGGGGGCGGGTTGTCTGGACTATGTCGTCTGTTGTACGCATTACACAGAGGTGTCAGATGGATCACTTAAGATGGGCTCTTTAGATAGAAACGTTAACATAAGCCACGGTGGACTCACAAATATGATAGCATGAAAAATGTATGATTTTACATACTTTTGTCGTAAAAATACCAGCGTTCACCGTAAGATAGGGGCGTTTTTGTTGTTTGTTTTGGTACTACGGTAGTGCTATATTGGTAATCGTTTGGGCCTCGGAGATGAAAAAAAATATCGTCCAAAAGATGGTGGGTATTGTGAGGAGTATCTAGCAGGCGTCAAGGGTGCTAGTACGAGGCACTAGTATCTTGCGTTGGCACTATAGTAGTGCTATACTAGAAATCGTTTGGGCATCAGATACGAAAAAATATCGTCAAAAGATTGTGAGTATTGTGGTGGTTATCCAAGCAGGCGCCAAGAGTACTAGTAGAAGACTCTTGTGAGCGAATTGGCACAAATTCATCCCATAGTTCTAACGTTTGACAGTGAGCCTCGGTAAAGATAGAGGATTTATGAGGGCCGTCGTGTATTTCTATTAAAGTATCAGGTTTCGTCGGAACGACTGCTTGCATATCTAAACATTCTCCAGACACGTTTTAATAGAAATACCCAATCCTTATGACCAAAATGTTGAAAAACATTCATAGCTCAGGTTGTATAACGACCAACATGGCTACACTGCATTTTCGTGGTACGGCGTCTGTCTTGTTTGCTAGGTGAAAAAAAAATGACAATACAAATTGCAGGGACTAGACTCTGTTATTAGGGCATAAGTCGTGTATACGGGGTGTTGACTTCTTATTAGAGAGGCAGAGGGTGTCATTTTGCTTTCCCAATGCTATTATGAGCCACGGAAATGACAACCGGAGCCGTTTTTGATGGAATCCGTGAGGAAATGGGGAGTGAAATTTTGTTTTCTGTCACGTCTAGTTCTGAAGTGTAGATATTGTTGCGCGGTGACACGCCCTTTTTGTGCTTGCGTGTCGCTCGGTCGCGGCGTGAATTATTGATGACAGACACGGGGCATGGACACTGGTCCCCGGGAAACACTTTGTGTAAAACCATTCCGGGAGAATTGTCGGGGTGGCGGTGACAAATGTGCGCTGATGGGAGCTATCTCTCGCCGCCCAAGCGTACAGCCAAGTCCCCATCACCCCACACACCGCGCGCGGAAGGTTTAATATATTTCACAGCGTCCAGAGGCGAAGAGGTTACCGATTCTTCCACTCAAGCGGAGAATCAGTTTTAGAACGGGATATAACAAAGTTCACTAATAATCGACCTGGGCGTGGTCATTAACGCTTTTATCGATCCATTATCAGACCAGTTTGTCCTGGTCTTGATCGCAAAACGAGGCGTTGCTTAGCAACCGTTTAAAGCGCGACGGTGTTAAATTTTCACGTCGTGAGTGAACTGACGTAAAAAATTCAATATTTGCCGATCAGGGATTTGAAGAGTGAAAAAAGGCGGTTTACCGTTAAAAAGGTAGATGATCAACGCATCTATTATTCAATAATTGGTCTCTAAGGCATTGTGTAGCAACAATGGCGGCGCAAATATCTGTAATGAGAGGTTTTTTATGGTGTGCACTTTGTTCTACCGATATGCTGTGTCTTCCCAGAGGGGAGCTGTTAGTGTTCCTTTGTGATCCGGACCGGAATACGCAGAATTTCCCTGGGTGATTCCAAGAGTAAATTGAATCCTTTTTTGACGGTCAGAGGTCACACGGAAACTAACCGCCGTCATATTGACGACCGTTAACGACAGTTGGGGTCTGACCAACCAGAACGCGAGGAGAAAATGAGAACTCTGAATCTCCAAGCAGATGCAGATCTACTCCACAATATAATACTAATCTCCAAGCAGATTTTCGGTGGCTGCAGAGACAGTATCAAATTGGCCGACAAATATCCATTTGAAACACAGTTACCTTTTTCTATCCGTAGCTGACGTAAAAAAAGACACCAGTACAAAAAAGAGAGCCCGATAGAAACGTTTAAACCTCTGGAGAGTAATGAAATACGTATTTG